TCTCTGTCTCTCTTTTTATCACTCAACTACCCCTATCTCTCTCTCTCTATTATCAATCGCATCGTAATTGTTGTTGTTGTTATCGTTGTCGCCTACCTACAATATATATATATCTAACCAGAACCACATCAAGAAATCAAAAATGATAAAGCCAAATGCCACGCACCAACAGAACAACACTAAAATCGTCATTCCAAGAACACCAATCTAATCAACTCGAACTCGAACTCGAACTCGAACTCAGCCCAAAACGTCAGCTATCGAATCAAATCGAAAATAATCCTAGTCATCCGGAAGTCGACCGAACCTACTAAACCTCAGCGATGTCACCACTCTATCAACCCGATCTTTATATATGTTAACCTTAAACCACCGCATCATCATGAAGAGCATTATTCAGAAAACAAATATTTCGAAAATGAAACAAATGCACTAATATGCAAATCATTAACTTCAGTCTTTTCAATAAAGATGTATCGTACCAATATATCGATATATCGAGATAAACAAATATATCGATGGAGCGAGAGGGGTCGAGCGATAGAATGGCTATAAAGCGCTACTGCTTTCCGTTACTTTATCTCTCCGTCCCTCTCCCAAACACACTCATGCGCCCTGTGTAATGGGGCTAGAATGTTTGTTTGCAGTGTGACCGAATCAGTCTTTGATGCAAGATTAATTTAAACAAATTTTCCCATTTCTTTTTCTTTCGTTTATTGAACAAGTTTGATAATTGGAAAGCGCGTAGATTAAATCGAGCAAAAAACCAAGCAACCGCAACAAAACCTATCAAATAGGAGCGAGCACACAAAAGTAAAAAATAAAAACTAAAAGTAATTAAATTAAAAAGAAATAAGTCGGTTAACTAAGGAGCCTCCAAAACGAGTACAATCGATTCAAGGCAGAATCAATTCCGTCGCAAGGCAATCTGAAGACTGAACGGGAACGGCAGCAATTCCACAGTATGGAGAGTACGAGTATTATGAAGGCCGCCATGGACAGGGCTGCCGAGCAGCTGATGATCCAGCAGTTTGGCTTTAATTATTATCCTCAGGACTCGACGGGGCAGCATCAGGTGCAACCGCTACCGCAACAGCAACAGCACGAACACGAGCACGAGCAAATGCAATTGCAACAGGAGACGCAACAACAACAAGCAGAACAAGAACAAGAACATTATACATACCAATATCAGCAATCAACGCCTACATCTATGCAGCAATTAGCTTGTAACTATCAGCCACGACATTCCACAACCACGTCGTCGCCCTCATCAACAACACATTCGCTGGCCAGCGGCAGTAGAAACAGCAGCAGCAGCAACATCAGCAGCAATAGCAACACCAGCAACATTAGCAACAACAGCAATCACAGCACCCATAGCAGCGCTGCATACTCATTAGCCGTTCATAGCTATCAGCAGCAACACTGCCTAGTTAATCCCAGTCATATTCCGCACCACCAGATGGATCTGCCGCAGACGCCACTGAGTGATAATGGGTCGCCGAATGGTACGCCTGGCACGCCAGGCACCCTAACACCACCCGCCATTGGAACATCAATATCGCCAACCACAGCAGCGACATCGACTGCAGCAGCAGGAGCAGTTGCAGCAATTGCAGCAGCATCTGGCACTGCAACAGCATCGTTGGGCAATCATGCTGGCAACTATAAGACTGCCTCCTGTTGGTGTTACGGTGAGTTTGATTAAGAAACAAGCAATCAGCATCAGAATCAGCATCAGCATAGAACTTTCAACTATCAAAAGTTGTGCACAACTTCCTCTACTACACCATACATAAAATGTACACCACTTCTCTATATATATATATATATATCTCTATATAACTATCGAGCTCGCTACAACCAACCAACCAACAACAGCAACAGCATCAATCACCACGTCGCCTCATTCTAAATGCCGCCAGCAACTTAAAAAATAAATCAAACATATATAGAATGGGTGCCCAAACGAACCGAACTGAACCGAACGTCACATAAAAAGCCAGAAGCTATAAATGAGTTGTCCATTAACATTGCGTTGAAAGTTTTAAAAGAAAATAATCCAAATATCACCAACATCCAGCACACATCAGATACACAACCAAAAAAAAAAAAAAACTATATAATACCAGCAAACACTCATAGAAAACTAAGCTGAAAAAAAAAGAAACAACAAACAAACAAGCAACAACCACAATCGACTATATAAAATCTCATATGCTAATCGTACGCTTTAACGTGGGCGTCCATTTCAATTTTGAATTTCTTGTGTGTAGATACGACTTTCCTTGGCCATTCATGAGTGTTGCATAAAACGGATTTCGCTTCAAAGAAATCAAATTCCAAGAGGGGATAAGACTAAGCCCTCTTGTGTTTTGATTTCAATAACTAGTAATTGCCCGAAAGCGCTCTTTAAAAGGACTTTTTCCATTCAATCGCTTATTTGCGTGACACATTACGCATACGTAGCGTGGTACGTAGCGACAAGTTCCCTGACTTTGCTTCACCAATTCGCGTGTTGCAGATTGCTCCGCAGAGGTGTTCTGTTGTTTTTTTTTTGTTGTTTTGCGGAGGGTTTGTTCTGTGTGCCAGCTTGTCGTTAGCCTAGTTTCCCGCACCGTCCAATCCAATCCTCCACACAATGCATACGAAATTAGTCTCCAGTCTGCCTGCCGCTGCTCTCCGGGCGGTGGTCTGGCTGGCCCATGTGCTGCTGCAAGTGTTATTTATGACAGTCACATAATTTAAGGCGCGCTGCACAGTGTCAACAGCAAGGCAGCTTCCCAGCGTCGAAACCCGAGACCCCGGGTCCTTTGTGGCCCATAAAATGCTAAGCAAATGGCCAACATTGTTGTTTCTTCCTGCATATTATTTAGCATGCATTTTGCAGTTTCTTCTTATTTACGAGAATTTCTCCATGCCATAAATTCATTCTATATATTGCCGGAATTTGTCGGATTTCGGCCACGGAATTTTTATCTATACGGATAAACGATAGATAGCCGACAGATGCGTCCGGCGCACTTAGGCAGCAATTTCAATTATTTCGTATGTTTCGCTCAGAGCTCTGAAGCGGAAATTGGGCAGCATGGTGCTAAGTATGTGGGCTTTCATTTCGCTTTCGTTGCCGCGCATCGCACTTTGCGAATTCTTCGCAAATCGCATTTTCACACATGCATGCAAATCAGGGCAAATGGTCCAATATCTCCCATTTCCCACAGACCTCCGCCCTAGCCCCCCCCCTGCAATGTCATTGTGGCACATGTGTGCGGTGTATCTAATTAGAGAAATACTTTTGAAGGACACTCTGCCTCTGAGTGGCAACGAGACCAAGACGACGTCAACGCCTGGCATACATTTCAGCAGGGACCCGGGTATGGTAGAGAGATAGCAGGCATAACTGGGCGGGTGGGCCGGAGGAAAGGCTAAATTTAAACAAAGCGAGTGCCAAGTGGCAGCAACAACGTCTTGGGCTGCCTCACAGAAGTCAACTCAGACGGAGGGAGGGAACTGCAAACCAGTCAGGTGCAACGCGCTTAGATCATTCTGTTGTGGCAGTTGTGCCGCCAGTGCATGGTGTGCTGGTGCGCTGGTGCATTTGTGTAATAGAGCGTCTCCGTTTGACACATTTTATTAATTGAAATTTGTTTGTTTACTGGCCCGGCCATGGCTGGCGACTTGAGGCTGTGTATGACGTACGGTGACGGTGGGACCTGGCCGGGCAAAGATGATATCATTCCATACTGCGCTTCCATCCAGCGGCTCCACTGTATCCATGATTCAAATCGAACCCCCTTGCTACTGACATCTTACATCAGCTAGTTGTATAATTCTAGTATTTTTGTACCTATGATCCTAAGCTTATAATCTTATTTCTGTTCTTCTCTTCCCGTTTCAGGTGAGTCAGTTTGTTCTGGAATTGAGGTTGAAATTGAAAATAATAACAATAATCATATTCATCATGGTAAGCTTTGTCACACTTTCATTAAATACCATTAAATCCATCTCTGTCTAGCCAAACCAGATCGACTAACTATAACTGATTAATAACCAAAGCTCCAAAGCGTTAGACTTCATCTATCGTTTTTCTGCATCTTTCTGTCTATTTAGCCGCCTTTTGGTTTCCCATTTCGGTTCCGAGCCCGCTTTGAGCTTGACTTTGGATTGCCAACGAACTCTCCAACTGATTTTAAACCTGACACTTGACCGACCCACCGACCGTCCGACCATCCGACCATCCGACCAGCCACTGCAGCCGAGCACATTAACCTTCGACCCTATGACCAACTTTTTCTTTGACTTACATTTTCCACAAAAACTTGGTTCGTTTTGCGATTGCGAGTTGCGGGTCCCCTTCGAGAGGGTCGAAGAGTAAATGCTATATGGTAATTGGTGGGGCTCGCTTTTCTTGGCCATGCCGCTGCTGACCTTCCTCCGGCGGAGTAGAAAACGGTCTACGCTTCATGTGTTTCGTATGTCGCCAGTTCGCCAGCTCGCCAGCATTTTGTCTGTTACATCCTCATCTCGAGCGCATATCTCTCTCATGACAACAGCCAAGCCAACCCACAAAAACAGACAACAGTCGAACACCACGCCTGCACCACATAACTGCTCGCCCACCTCTCCATGCCCAAAAAAACTAAACTAAAATAATAAAAAACTAAAACTCTATCTGTATTTGAAACTAAAACCAAAACCTAAAAGCACCGAGTAGATCTCAATGTCGACCATGTTGCGATCGACCCTGCTGAAATGCTGTTATTATTTTTAATTTGTAACCTGTCGAACGGGCTATATGATAATGCTAGAATACTAAACTAGATATCCAACTAACAATAACCAAAACTAGATTGTATGCGAACGCCAAGGGCACAGACTAACCAGTACAAGAACCCTTAATCTATTGACAAAACCAATTCCGAAATTCCGAAAAGAAGACCCCCAAGACTAATCCATCGGTCGCTCTCTGTGAACCCGTTTCGATTTTATGCTTGCAGGCGAGACAACGTATCACATGAAGATATTGGTGCCCGCGGTGGCCTCCGGGGCCATCATCGGCAAAGGGGGCGAGACGATCGCCTCCCTCCAGAAAGACACGGGTGCTAGGGTCAAGATGTCAAAATCCCATGACTTCTACCCGGGTGAGTACCTCTAGATTCTTCCCTAGACTGAAAAATACTAATAAACATTCCATTTTAAAGGCACTACTGAACGTGTGTGCCTGATTACCGGCTCCACGGAGGCCATCATGTTCGTTTTGGACTTTATCATGGACAAAATCCGTGAGAAGCCCGACCTAACCACAAAGATCATCGATGCCGAGTCGAAACAGACCCAGGAGCGTGACAAGCAGGTCAAGATCCTGGTTCCTAACTCGACCGCCGGCATGATCATCGGCAAGGGGGGTGCCTTCATTAAACAAATCAAGGAGGAGAGCGGCTCCTACGTCCAGATCTCGCAGAAGCCCAAGGATGTATCGCTGCAGGAGCGCTGCATCACCATCATTGGCGACAAGGAGAACAACAAGAACGCCTGCAAAATGATCCTCTCGAAGATCGTCGAGGACCCGCAGTCAGGCACCTGCCTTAACGTATCCTACGCGGATGTCAGTGGCCCGGTGGCCAACTTCAATCCGACCGGTTCTCCGTATGCCACCAACCAGAATGCCATCAATTCGAGCACCGCCTCGCTCAACTCCACGCTGGGTACAACGATCGGCGGCACTAGCTCCGCTGCCAGCCTGCTAGTCAACGGCACCGGCATTAACTTGTCCATCAACCTGGGCGCTCCCAATCCGGCGCCCAATCTAGCGGTTGCCACTCAACTTCTTGAGCATATTAAGGTAAGAAATCATATCTGATCCTTGGTTTCTGCGATGAACCCACATGGCGTATACTTAATATTAAATATTTCGGACTTTCAGGTTGCCATGCGCGGCTCTGGATATTCGGAGACCGTCACCACTGAAGTCTGCGCCGCTTTGGGCGTGCTGGCCAAGTACGGCGTTCTCGCCATGGGCGTGGGAGTACCGCACACCAATGGCGCCCACTCGACACTGGGCAACTTCCTCGGGGTAACGACACTGGACCAGCAGACTGCGGCCGCCGCATCCGCGGCCACCGCCAGCAACATGTTCGGGGCCGTCGGCCAGGTGAATCTGGAGCAGTATGCCGCAGCAGCGGCCGCTGCAGCTGCCGCGACCCGACCGACGCAGACGCAACTGGACGCTGCTGCGGTCCAATTCGATCCATTCCGCCACCTGGGCTCGGCCACGGCGCCGGCCACTACACCCGTATCGCTGAACAACAACAGCTTCGGGCTGACGGCCGCCACGGGCACGGCGACCACGGCACAGCTGGGCGGACTCAGCAAGAGCCCCACCCCGGGCGACCTCAGTTCCAAGGACTCGAAGAACGTCGAGGTGCCGGAAGTGATTATCGGCGCTATTCTAGGTGCGCGCCCTTACTATTACCCTTACTAAATTGCAACAAAAAAAAAAACAGCAACCAACAGAGAACCAACAACACCGCAAATTTCTTTTACCTCCCAACCCCCAATGCCCCCTCCAGAGAAAGGAGATCCCGCTTCCCTTTAGCAAACATCCCCTTATCCTATAGAGCCCCCCGAGAAGCTGAGAGAAATATTCCAGAAGATACAAAAAAAAGAGTTCCCGCAACCGTTCACATTTACGTTTTCCATAGCACCACCCGCACATTTTTGATTAGCCATATAGAGTTATCTTAGAGATAGAGATAGCCAGTCCGAAAACAGGCACTTCATTCCAGATTTCATTCCCAGCGAGAGACAGATCTAGGTAGTTACTCTATTCTTTGCATACGATACATTCCGAAATACATTCTCAAGTGGAGGTCCTCCTACTGCAGCAATTCATTGAAACTTATAGCGAAATTTCTAGTCAAGTTCTTGCCTCTCACCCATATCCGCCAGCCCATGCATCCATGATCCACACAATTCCAGTTGAATCCAAACCAGAAGATCCATAGCTCAGCACCCCACTGAAAGTTCGCACAGGAGCAGCAGTAACCGGGAAACATCCGATAGAATATGTTATAAGAGACCAGTAGCAAGTAGCTTTAGCGGTAGGTTGTAGGTTGAAACTTTCACATTTCCCCATTTCTTGACTATTCATAACGAATTTTTTCTAATACATATACTTACGTGAAGCTGGGCGGTTCGCATGCCCAGTCGGCTAGTGCAATTTTTATTTTGGGTAACCATGCGTAAAATATAATATTGTTTTTTTGGAGTTACATTTTTTGTTGTTACCTCAGTGTCAGTTGTAAGGTCGTTAGGTCATTAGGTTAGGCACTTGACCACCACCCCCACACCATACTAAAATGGCTATTGATTTTTTATTTTCGGCAGGCAGTTTAGTTCTTAACACTTGCTGCTAAACTTGCACACACACACATGATATATATAATTTTACCAATACCAATATACCAATACCATATCTATATACATACATACTATATATATAATACCCACCCATACTTATTGTCATTTAAATATTATGAAAGATTTTTAACATAAATCTGATGCAAATATTCCAGGTCCGAACGGTCGTAGTTTAGTTGAAATTCAACATGTTTCTGGCGCAAATGTGCAAATTTCCAAAAAGGGCATATTCGCACCTGGCACTAGAAATCGCATTGTAACCATAACTGGTCAGCCGAGTGCCATTGCCAAAGCGCAATATCTAATTGAACAGAAAATCAACGAGGAGGAGACAAAGAGGGCGCGACAAATTCCATTAACCACTGTTGTGAATTAATATCCAAGTATAAAAAAAACCAATCCAGCAATCTAACAGAACAACAAGCAGGCAAAAAAGCAAAACAACAACAACCAAACAACCCCAAAATCTCTCCCCCCCCTTCACATAAGCAAGTTTTTTGTCTAAAACATTTGTTAATTTCTTCTTAAAAACGAAAAACCATATAAACAACAACAACAATTTTAAAGTAAATGAAAAAAACACTTAAAACTAAAAACACGTAAACCTAAAATTGAAATGACATGAAGGGATAACACCAATTGTTATACGTGCAGCTAAAAGTTAAGCGATTAATAAATAATAATAATGTATTGCAAAGCTCCCATTTACACTTTATGAGTAAAACAGTTCAAGGCCTTCAACTCGAGAAAATTTGCTTTAACTAACGCCCTTTCAAAGAAACAAAACAAGCAAAAAAAAAAAATTAATAATAATAAAAAATGAAAAAATAGTTAAAATTGTATAATACTACTACCTACTACCTTCTACTATATAAATTGTTGCATTTGTTTGTCACACTCGAAACAGCCTAAAATTGAAAATTGAAAATTGCAAACTCGAGAATTAAAAAAACAATCTTAAAGTTATTGCCAGTTAGACTATGTAGATGCAAAGGAAAATTGTTTGGGTTTTTGTTTGTGATGCGTATGTTTGCGTTGCGTGTTTTGTTTTTGGTACTCCCGACAAAGCTATACGATACCATGGGGCATATATATTGTACATATATATACTGTATATGTACACAGTTGTTGAGTCTTGTTTATATATATATATTATCCACACCCATGCCTATACATATACATATATATATAAATACATATGCCACCATACACCTAAACACACACACACATAACACATAAATACTAGCATTATGTTGAGCTAAAAAAAAAAAAAAAATATCCGAAAATCTGTGTAATGATCGAGCGTTTTCAGTGAAAACTTGAGAAGATTCTTACTCTCGAAATAAGGTAAATATTTTACAAAATACCACCCCACACACAGCAGCAAGAAGAACAACGAGATATGCACCCTCTTGCATTATAAAGTAACCTCAAGTGCTGACAGGCTAGTGAAAATGAAAAAGATACTACAGCAAAATATAGTGACTTTGTTGACATTTGATGTACTTTCGTTACCGTTTTCTGTTTTTTATATGTTGTTGGCCCCCTTTCATAATTGCTTATCGCTGTTAATATGTTCACCTCCGATTCTATATACTCTAAAGCCTGACCTCTAAACTCTGACCTCTGTGTATATGAACACTTTCCAAAAACGTTGATTACAGTTGATGTTGATCATGATAATGTTGTTTAGTTTTAAAGACGATCCAGTCGGATCGAGTGGTGTTAATGTGTTGCGCGCGCACGTGAGTCTCCTTTTGGTTTTGATTTTGTGCTCCCGATTTGTTACTCCTTATATCTTTTGTTTTATTTATATTTATAAAGAAAAAAAAAAATAAACACTGCGATTTATTAGTTGCCAGTTAGAGAACTGCACCTATTATTTTTTTGTCATTATGCGTTTGTTAACTACATTTCCTTTTGGTAAATTTAGCACATTTGTTTCTTACATTTTAATTTTAAGTCTTACATTTTCTGTCATTTAATGCATCACAATATCTTAATAGTGAAAATACAACCACAAAAAAAAATTAAATAATTCTTTGTAAAATATTCATATTAAAGCATTCATTTAGGGGTTTCTTCATATGTCAGAAAAAAATGATTCACCAAACCAATTCTCTTGTTAATTTTAAGTATTGTGCAATTATTAAACATTTTCAACAAACATTTCACAAAAATTCTATGTACATATCTATCTAGAAACGCAATGTAAAGACAAAAGATGTTAACATCACATTTAAAAGATTTCCCTTTTCATATACACCTACACACCCACCCACACACAAAGACAAGTATACCCATACAAACACGATCACCTACAGAGAGAGAAATGCCTTACTTGTAATGAACATTTTCTTATTTACTTTATTCCTTACACATAATTAAGTTTAACATTTTCTTTTTGATTAATAAACAAAGATGAAACAAAATTTAAATAAAAATTGATTACAAAACAATGAAAACCTGCAACGTTTATTTCGTGTTTAATTTGAAGCGCCCTGCGCATCCACCGTCACGGCCTACCATCCCCACTCATAAGCTCACTAAAGCGCCCACAACCAGTACCACTAACACTCAAAACTTATCCCCAACAACCAGTCTACAACATTATCATGAACAATCAAATCAATATCAACTCAACAATCAGTCAGTCAGCCTATCAGTCAATCAGTCAACCAACCACTTCTTTGCTCAGATCGATTTCAATCAGATTCAACTTCAGTTCAATCACTGAGAACGCTCATCAACGTAGTAGCAAATGAAAAAGATTATAAAAAACAAACAAACAAACAAATAAAAACAGCAACCAATCCTAAGCTAAGCCTCTATATTTAAGTTACAAGTTGTTCTTATTAATTTTTGCTATTATTGTTAAAAACTTACCTACATTTGTTCTTATTTGTGCAATATTTATATAATACGATTAAAATATTAAATCGAATGAAAAACAAGATGAAAAACATTATAATACGATGCAAATCAATAAGCAAACTGAAGAGAACAAAAACCTGGAAACAAAAGAAAGTAAATTTGAAAGTACAGTCGTAAATGCTAGTGTGCCTTGAAATATGCATTAACATCCAAAAGTAAACAAATCGAAAACGTAAGGGGAAGGAATGATGAAACGATGTTGGTATTTTATTTAATTTTGTTGTCTTACGATCATCATATTGAAGATTCAAGTGTCATCGGCAGGATGTAGAATATTCTAAAAAAAAAAGAAACAGAAACACAAATGTTATATGCAAAAGCAATAGACCGTCTTAAGCTAGGAACTATCCAGGCAAAGTAAATGCAGAATTCCAGAATAACGATGAAACGTAGCTTAACAAACAACAACAACCAAAATCATAACAAGCATAAATACACAGATCCCCCTTTCGTCCACCCCACAAAGCAGTCAACCAATCAGTCAGTCAATCAATCAATCAATCAGTCAACCAATCAACCTACCTATCCAACAACAAATGACATTTATTTCGTCTTCTTCGCCTTGCGTCAACTAATGGGAGAAATCTGTCAGGCCATTCAGAATCCAAGCACAAACTCTATTTACCAGACAGACCACACAGTCACAGTCTCGCCCCACACCACCCACTCCATAGATTACAAAAAAAAAATACCTGCCACATTGATTCCACACCCACTGACACTACACACTATGCCACACACCATCCATACACATTCACATATTCGTACTAAATATCAGTATCATATGCGCGTGCTCACTGAGTTATGTTTAATATATGAGTTTTATATAAAATAACTAAACATAGTAGAGGAAGGAAGGAGGAAATAAACACAAATATATATATACTTATATTTGTACTGGATCTGTGATATGTATTTAAAAAACAACAAAACAAAGAAAAAATATATTTATTAACAAAGAAAAGAGAAGTCAAACGATACTTGAAATTAATTATGAAATAATTAATTTTTTAATGAGACAACTAAGAGAAAAGAAAAGCTTTACTTGAAAAGCAAAATCTCCCCGGAATCAAGTTCTCAATTCATCGATGCATGGGCAGTCCAGGATAATCCAGGGACCACATGTCCAACTCCCCACCCCATATGCATACGTATTCGGTCAAAAACAAGTCCTTTTTGCCAATTTTCACTCTGTTTCTCCAATAATAATAATGTCCGATTTGTGATCCAACCGAACCGACGAATGTCACTTCCGAGCGGGTGACGAAAGTAGAGAACTATTTGGAAGATATGGGCCGCATGCCACATCCCATCCTATCGGTTCGGATGTCCTGCGACCCGCTTTCGACGTGTTTATGCTTGTTTGGATTTTATTGTTTGAATGCGTTCGTTATTTGCTGTACAAATTAAAGCTTCTCGTCAACATCGCCGCCTCACCAATTTTGGAGGGGGCGGCCTTAGCGCAGTCTGGCTAAGTCCAAGTTGCACCAATCGGCTGCATGATTGCTTTGTGCTTACCATCAACAGAACCGTAATGCCAAGCACTCGACCCACTTATCAGACACATTTGTCATGCCAACTCATGCCCCCCCAAAGTCGCCACCAATCCCAAGCCACACCCACTTACCACTGCAATCATTTGAACTAGGAAGCTAGGAAACTAGGAAACTTTGGAAAGACGTGCGCATTGAGTTTTCTTCATCAGAAGTTTTATTAAATCATTATTGAAAGGCATCTATAACAATAAAAATAGAAGATTATGAAAGGATATGATGGTAGATGAGAGTAATACAGCTGTTATTTCAACGACGGAGTCTATTAGTGTTAAAGTAGTAGGCATAAAAGCAACTTTTATTAAAATATATACATACAGTACATAAATATATCTAAAGTAATTCGAATTCGACTTTGAGCATTAATGGAAAACAAAACCAACAAATGAAAGGAAAACAAACACAATAAGATGTAGCAAGAGTTTGCTCTTAAAAATCCGTAATTTGATAAAATACAAAAATATGTAAGGAAGAGTTCAATTTATCAATCAAATCTCGTATAGGGCATACATACACATATTACATGCATAGAGGCATCCTTGAAGCAAGGCTTTAAGTGTGTGTACTTTAAGTATTGAAGCATACTTAAGTCAAGAACGGAGAATAAACTTTAACTATAATTTTGTTATGCGTTGCCACCCACACTGTTATTAGAACAATTAAACATTACGGATGCGTATGCATTATATATAAATGTACACACCCCCATAAACATAAACATATACTTGTATGTACGCATATATTAAATCGAAAACACACCCTGAGCAGGTCAGAAATAATGTTTGAAAGCAATTGCATTGCTTGAGTTGCGTCAGAGAGATGCGACAGCAGGATCGGAGGACTAACTGAATCATTATATAACCTCATTATAGCATTGTATGTATAAATCAACCGAATTGGCAGCGAGTCGACCCGGCCACGGAGAAGTTCATTCAGCAACCACAGCAGAAGCATACAACATTAGTAAAATATTAAATACTATATATACATACATATATATATTCGCATACACTAAAAGTATAAACAAGTAGTCGTTAGTGTGATAAATAAAATTAATATTAATTAATTCAAACAAATAAAACGGTTTAACGATTGAAGCAAAGAACTCGCAACTCGATGGGGTCGTGCAGGGCCTCACTTTCCCGATCGAAAGGACCGTAAAGTGCAGCCCGGCACGAGCCCCCAAACTATTTATTTATTTAACTTTGTTTCCATTTCGGCACAGTTCATTCGGCACATGGTCTACATCAAATAAGTTGTATAGTAGCCTAAAAATTAAATTAAAAAATTATCTGGAAGGAAGAAAAATTCAGTGTACAAATAGGTCATGAAAAACTAATCATAAAAAAAGACAAAGAAGCGAAGCCCCAGTGTTGTGGGGTGTTGTCGAATATTCTTCACATAGAAACTTTCTCAATTGTCAACCAACCAACCTATGAAGTTGCATACGTGAGTACCTTAGAAGAAACAAAAACAAAACTAAAATAGTTATTATTACCTGGCCAATATCAGAAGCAGGTCCTCAGAAGTCCAACATTTCGCTCAACATGTAGGAATTATTATTGCGTTAATATTTTATACATACGATTAGATCTAATCATAGCAGACGCTCTAAATAATCTAATTTAATAAATATTATTACTTTGCGGATTTCTAAACGTTTCTTAGGAGAATTCAATAAAGCAAGAAAAACCAGAATACCAGAATGTTAGGGCAACACTAGCACACTCTTCACTCAATGTCAAATTCCGTTGCGCACTATTAGAAGTAACGAACAGCAAGCAACCCTTTTCGATCTCTCAATAGTTATTTAGAAAATAAATTAAAAACGAAACAAATTTGTGAATTCGACATTGATCGATGGCCATTCGAATGCGCGGAACATTTAGCAAAACTAAAAAACAAAAAAAAAAAACAAACATCATGGAAACTCATTCAAAAGTAAAAGTACTAAATCTTTTATGATTTGACTGTGATAATAATAATGACAAAATGAGAAATAAAGTCGGAAAATGTAAACAGATAAAACGTATATAGAGTATTTAATTGTATGTAAATACAGTGCCGCCTAAATAGGCCAAGCAAGTGTAATATTAACCTAGGTGCGAACACATGAGGGCTCCAACCGAAAACTGTTAACCGAAAAGCGAACAAATCCAAAATCCAAGCGAATCATTCGATTTGCGGCCATTCTGGACTGAAATCCAGGCCAGGGCAATGTAGGAAAATATGTGTTTAAGTAGCGATAACGAGAACGAAATACATGGCGATGAGAAACAAGTTTTACTTATACTTATAGCAAAATATTTAAATAAAATTTTAGCAAAACAAAATCCCTTTCTGAGTGCAAATGAATCCCAGTAAATGAGAATCGCGAAATCCTAATTGAATGAAATGATGATATGAACTAAAAGCAAAATGAAATCAACGACATTTAGTTATGATCGATTTACAAAATATAATCAATTGACGTTTTTTAATGAATCAACTAGCAATGCAAAAGATTTTATAGAATTATTCATTTAGTATTTGAAATCGCAATAAATGATCATCCACACATAACCATGGAATAAAGTAGTTTTTTTTTTATTTCCTAATATCATTTTACAAAACATAGATTTGACGAAAAATGAAAGTAAACAAAAAACAAAACCGAAAGATAGTAAATACCGAAAATAGTCTAGAGAAATATTAAAAGAATTAAATCAAAAAGTATCCCTACAAGAAGATTCTTTAAAAGTAGCTCATTCAAGTTTTAACAAATCGAAAACATAATTTTTGCAATTAAAGAAACGATAAGAAAACTTGTACAATTGCGAACAAAAAGTATGCAAACAGTTACTCCTCTCAACATACATATATATATAAATATATATATAAACATAGCTATATAACCCAAAATGAATCATACTCGAACAAGAATGATGCAGATTGCGACTAGAACTTTATGGTAAATGGGCCAAAAGGCCGAAAAGTAAAACGAAAGCTAAGCTAGGTAGGCAATCGATCGGAACCGATGTTAGATACAGTACAGAACATGCATGTATATCGAATGTAATGGTAATGTTATGTAATGCGTCCGGCGCATCTGTATGTAATAGTAATTATAGTAAAATTTGTTGACTACATATATTCACATGCCGACACCAGGACACCAACATCACAGACTCACTCCAAACAGGAACGCCAACAAAAGCATACTAAGTACATACACAGATACATTATAAAGACCCGCATCCGCATCCAGGATGGAGAATTAGAAATGCAAAGTTAGGACGGTACATAAATGAATTACGTGAATTACACATTACACATTTAAGAACGATTATATAAAAATGACGAAACTAATAAAAATTATATTATAATTCAATATTGTGGTCTTAACTGGTTTTGGGCTAAAATATGAGTACTTTATTATGTATATCTTCTTGGTATAAACATTAAAACTATTAACTATAAATGCAATAAGAATGTGATTATAAAACTTCTTAAGCCTTCTTAGCAAGCTTTGGAGGGCAGTCGGGTTGTACGTGCGGATGGGAAACCTTAAAGGATTCCAGTTTAAGGAGGTCTTCATTCAATCTAACAATCGTTGGATAAGGGCTCATGTCAGTCTTGTACCGAAGGGCATTAAAGACCTGGGGTACAAGGCAAACATCTGCCATGGAAATCTCGTCTCCCACACAGAAATTTCCCGACGATTGGGCGAGTACCTTCTCCAGGCCCCTAAATCCTCGCGATATCCAGTGACGAGCCCAGTCCATATTTTTCTCCTCTCCAATGGTTTCCAGGACCAATCGATTCTGCAGGGGCTGGATGGCTGAACAAATGAGCTCCACTATTTCCCGGACTTTGGCTCTCTTGACAGGATCTTTGGGCAAATATGCATTCTGGGGGCGAGTTTCTTCGAGATAATGCATTATGGCCACCGAATCGCAGAGTGTGTTTCCATCTATTATCATTAAATGATTTTTTAATAGGTTGTGGAAAGGCGTAATACCATTACTTACCAATGTATAACGCTGGAACCGTTTGCATGGGATTTACTTTCAAGAAATCCGGGTTGTAGACATGAACACTGTCCTTTTTAAGCAAGGAAGTTGCTCTAATATCGTAATTTATGTCCTTCAATGCCAGAGCTATGCGAACTCGCCAAGAACATGAACTGGTCCAATACGAATATAGTATTGGCTTAGTGGCATCTTTCGAGGCATTTCGAATAAGGACGATAGGTCCGGAATGCTTGCAAATTAGTGGCAATTGAAGAGCCTTAGAACCGAGTTGTCTGATTGCAGCCATTTCTAATTAGGAAACCACCTGATTTTAATTAATCTCAGTGCCCAGCTGGTTTGAGAAGATACCTATCTTTAAGAACTATCGATAGGAGCTTTTACAAATATCCCCCCAAAAGCAGGCAACACTTTTCGAAAAAAGTCATGTAGAATCTGTACAAAAGGGTTTCTGTCTGTTGTGTTTGATTTTCGAATATAATATTAATATAATTACTAAATAAATTATATGAAATTAAATTTAATTTTTTAGTTTGAAGTTTATTTATTAATTATGTATGGAACTGTTACAATATTTCGGAATTTATGCATATAAGTTGGTTTCGTGTTCAATTTGGTTTTCGTTTGGTTTCGTATGCGAAAATGCGCAGCTCTGTCTATATAGTATATATCTTTGTATGATGTGACTATCGGCACTCGTCCTTCGCTTCGGCAACCGATTCTTGCATTGTACTTTCATACAGGACAGTTAGTATGGTCTTGGCAATGGCAGGCTTACAACTACTCGTACAAGGGTTGTGAAACAAATCCTCACGATTCAATTTACATCAAGTTGCTATTAAAATTAGGGTGCACTTAATTTGTTGGCTTTATATCATTCGTCTATGTGCATTGAGTTTGAGAGAAATAATTGATTACTTTAGTTACTTTCTTGAGTGGTATCAAAGAGGCATTGCGACATTTAGAACCATTAAATAGGTGATCCACCTTATCGGTTGGATAGTTCTTTGTAAATTACTTATGAGTTATTCGATTTAATGTATAGTTTGTCGGTTGGTATATATTACTTATTGGTTGACTGACGTTTTGTACTTTGTGAACGATTTGTTTAGCATTTGCCCAACTTTGACATGAAGTACTTATACATAGGTTTGTATATTTTCGATAGTTTTCAACCGCACACATGTGCTCTCGATTTGGTTTTTAAATAATTTTTGTTCATAGATCCCTGAATTGAATTTTGCTTTTCGTCATGAGTTTTCCTTGAATTTGTTATGTTTTTGTTAGCCTAAATAAAATGCATAAAAATAAGTTACATTTAATATATATGAGTTCATCTTTTAGATCATGTTCACAATGACAAACTAAGGGAATTCGAAGAATTTATTATTCAAAAGTTTTTGTTCCTTTTTTGAGAATTTTGCGTTTAAGATTTTGAATTTCTTGAATGGAATTTCGTTATACTATCGATAGTATTTTTATGCATTTATGCATATTTAAATGCTGTTAGCAATTTTTATAAATCACATCCGACTGTTTCTGCTTAATGGAATCCTCGCCAGCTTTGCCATATTTTCAATCTTCCACATCGTTTCTAATCCTTCACACGTCCTGCTCACTGATCATAGTTAAGGTTTTAGTTTGTCCTGTGTCTTCGGTGTCGAACTGCAATTCACTTTTTCGTTTTACGGCGCTTTGCAGTTGGCGTCGGAAAATTCTATTTGTTGGGCAGCTCCGGCGGACAGTCCGGTTGATTCGAGGGGTGGGCAGCTCGGAACGCCGGATTGCTCTCCAGTTCGCGGTCGATGCGCAGTATAATGGGATATGGGCGCAAGTCGACATGGAATCTAGATTACAGTAAAATTATTTAATAAAATTGAATAATAAATATTTCGTTCTAACCTTCTGGCATTGAACACCTGTGGTACGAGGCAGCAATCAGCCATGGAGATCTCATCGCCCACACAGTATTTTCCTGCCGAGGTGGACAACGCCTTCTCCACCGCCCGGAAGCCACGTGTGATCCAGTGCTGGGCCCACTCCTTCTTCTTCTCCTCGCCCACGTGGATGAGAACGATGAGGTTCTGGAGCGGCTGGATGCCAGAGCAAATGATCTCCACGATCTCGCGCACCTTGGCCCGCTTGTGGACGTCCTGTGGCAGGAGTGGTCGCTGCGGACGAGTCTCCTCGAGGTAGTGCATAATGGCCACCGATTCGATGAGGGTGTGGCCATCTATTTAAGAAAAATATTTATTAAAGGAGTTTTTTTTCAAAGTCTTTAAAGATAATCAATACCCACCAATCTGTAAAGCCGGAACCTGCTCCATGGGGTTCACCTCGCGATACTCATTGCAGTGCTGCTCGCCGCCCGACTTGATCAGACTGATCGGCTTGATGTCGTAGGGTATCTCCTTGAGGTTCATCGCAATGCGCACGCGCCAGGAGCACGAGCTTCGCCAATACGAGTAGAGTATTGGCTGTGTGCCGGGGGAGGAATCGGAAACAGAGGAATTCGGATTAGTAGACATTTTGACACAACCACAACCGTCGACCAAATGGCCGGGCCCGGCCTACAAGCTCTATTACGAAATCTGTTTATTATAATTAGTTCAGAACAGGTTGCCCGCTGGCTGATAACAAGTTGCCCAGCATAACACACAACACACTTAACAAGCAAATACTATTTTTCTCAAATTCTCAGCTAGTCAAACTGGTTTAATCATTTGCATTTAGTTCTAGTTTGTTGGTGGCGCGATAAACTAGAACTCTCAATTACGCACTTATCACTTTGCCCCATTCACAGATAAGACAGATTTTCTTAGGTTCCGATAAATAGATATATATATATTTGGCATATTGTATATAGTTTGTACCCACATGATTCATGGTGTGCAGACAGGAGCAGAGCTGGAGAAAGACTGATGGGCCGGCCGACAAAAAGCACAGCGTCAAGTTCGACTTGCACCAAAAATAGCGCCCGACAACAGCTGCAGAGCAACAGTGGAGTCGCGGAGAGGGTAGGGAAGCGGTGCGGGGAGTGGCAATGGCCGCTACCGAGGACGAGGACGAGCCCTAAAATGATATACACACAACGGATATGGCTGACTGTTCCGGCCTGACTTGGCCAATCAACCCAACAGAGCCTATCGAGCCACCCACATAGGCATCATCGGCCTCATCGGCCACAACGGCCACATGTGTACACGGAAAGCATAATAAGTTCCCGGAAAGTTCAATGAACCCATGGGAAAGTGAGGCCCGAACCATGGGGTCCGAATGGGTCCGAGGCGCGAAAGATCCCGAGTCCCGAAGTCCCGATGTGTGTCGCACCCCAAGGTCGGCTAGGGGCATTAACCTTAATCAAGTTGTCGTTGTCCTGAGCGAAGCGCGAAGGCAGCGCCAAGGACACCGGAGACCCCTGCTCAAAAGCCGGAGAAAATTGGCTCACAAGTTTTGCCGAGGGTGTGCTTTTTATTGTTAGGGGTTGTAAGTTGAGTCCTGTGTTCGGAGTTTGAGTCAAAAGCCTGCCGCAGGGTTGTCAGGCATTCGCATCCGTGCCAAATTTCGTCCTTTCGCAACAAACCAGAAACACGGTACACCCAGGAAGTGTGTCGTTCGACAACCCTGTTAGGGAAACTTTGCCGTGTGTGTGTACGCGAGGGAGGAAAGCTCACTGTTCTGCGCACAATCGAATTTTAGATATAGCCGGAGGGGTATGAGTGAAGCCCAGACTAAAGACTGAAGTCACAGATTGCTGCTGGCCGCGGGGTATGAGTGATTTTTGCGGGAATGAAATGGACTTTTGGCAACTGCCAACTGCCAGCCAGGGCGCCAATGACGCTGCCCGTCCTGGCTGGGATTCACATGGATTCACTTCCGTCCCACATTCGATTTGCTTACCTTGGCTATGGCCGAAAGGGACATAGCGTTGTGGTGGTACTTTGAGTAGTTAATTTTGAAGCCGTTCAGTGCAGATGCACAACCCCGATGAAGAGTCAAATAATTAAAACGCTCCGAGCCGGTTAGCTAAGATGCGGTAGTTGGTTTAAGGATATACGCTCTATATCCTGCACTGTCCAAATTATGTATTCGATTTTCACAAAACCACATCCACTGATTCCACAGATATTTATGGTTTGTTTTTGCGCACACACAGTTCTGTTTTTATTTGCAGCCGCTCAAATGCACTCAAAACCTCAAACTGAAAAGGCTTGGGCAAGCGCTAAAGGACAACGACAGGATATGAAGCCGAATCGCAACTGAACACACTGAACTAAATAAACGAGTGCGAAAGCGAAAGCAAAAGCAAACGCAAAAAGGACAATGACAAAAGGCAGTTTAGGTCTGTGTGTGTGTTGGTGCGATTGAGAGAAGGTGAGAGGAAGGACAATGCCAAAAGGAAGGAAGAACTCAGAGAGAGAGCAGTGCAGCTGCTTCTAAATGAGAAGAATTCTTCTATTGAAAGCTTTTCGGTTGTTGTCTAGGCTAAACTTAAAAGGGCTTAGTTTGCATACCCTATATGAGGGTGCTATAGTTTTGCCCGAAAGTCTGCAACGCTGCAGATAAGATATTACTGATATGACTTTAAGAAATTTCATGCAATCTGAATTTGGTGATGGTGATTTCAATTTTTTCAACTCCAAATTATTCCCGTTTAGCCAACAACCTTCAACCCATAAGGGAAAACCTCGTTTTTAAGGAATCCAAACACGAAAAATGGACAAAAAATCTAAAAAATATTTTGTCTCAGGATTTTGATGCAGAATGGTGGCAAATTGATCCAGAAATCGTTTAAGGTACTCCGCTTGAGAATCGGATGAGAATTGGGGAAGATATACTCATCACTGTGGGCCCTATAGGAAAAAATCCCATTTTCAAGGGATCCCATCACGAAAAATGGACAAAAAATCTGAAAAATATTTTGTCTCAGGATTTTGATGCAGAATGGTGGCAAATCGATCCAGAAATCGTTTAAGGTACTCCGCTTGAGAATCGGATGAGAATTGGGGAAGATATACTCATCACTGTGGGCCCTATAGGAAAAAACCCCATTTTCAAGGGATCCCATCACGAAAAATGGACAAAAAATCTAAAAAATATTTTGTCTCAGGATTTTGATGCAGAATGGTAGCAAATTGATCCAGAAATCTTTTAAGGTACTCCTCTTGAGAATCGAATGAGAATTGGGGAAGATATACTCATCACTGTGGGCCCTATAGCGAAAACCCCATTTTCAGGGGATCCGTCAGCAAAGTGGACAAAAAATCTGAAAAATATTTTGTCTCAGGATTTTGATGCTGATAGGTGCCACAAAAAATATGACTTTTTTTCAACCAAGGTACGTGGGTACTCGTTAACAAGGTTTTAGCTTTGACTTCTAACATTTCAACAAAAGGATTAAGGTGCGTATACGTAATATAGAAAAAAAAACTACATTAAGTATACGTATCAACCCATTTATCGTAGCAAACCTAACACTTGATCATTCGGTGAAAGACTTATCTTTGTAAACTTGAAAAAAACAACCATCGGTTTAGTTACGACCACCACTTTATTTTCGTTTGTGTTGTAAGTTTAGTTCATTTTCATTAAATTTGCTCAAATCATGTTCGATTAAATTACAAGTGCTTAAACCTAAAAGTATGTATGTACGTATGTATGGACTAAAATAGTTAACAAAGTTCGGCAATCAGTTATAGTTAGTAAAAACGAATTAAAAAACCCATTACGAATATATATGTATAACTAAAACAACAACTGGAAATTGAAAAGTTATATATTTCTTGCTTTCCGTTTTTCTTAATACTTTTTAGCTTGATTTTTAAATTTTTTGTCTCATGGGTAGACCCAGTTTAGGTCAGTTACGATTAGTAGAAATGCAACAATGTGTAAAACGGCTTAAAAAGAACCGCCACAACCAATAGAATATCACACCAAAAATGGCAGAGTACAACAAATCCAACAGAGACTCTAATCAGTGAGTAGTGTGTGTGTGTAAAAGAGTGTGTTTTAATAGGAGTGTTTATGAGGAGAAAACGTGAGGGACGCGGACCTAACTAGCTTGGTAGGAATCGGGCCATGGGGACGGGCCTCCAAAATCTGGAGGGCCTGTCCGGCCGTGAGGTTCGTGCCTGTACAGTGTGCTCTCGCGGGTGTTCGGGGCGTGGGCTGTTTGGGTACAACATTCATAAAGTTTATCTACCTCGGCGCTACCTAAGTTGTCGTTGTCGTTTTGCTAGCTAACAAAAGTAACTGTGTATATATATGTATAAAATTACCAACAAATTCATAAATTATTGTTGTAATACGTTTAGAAAATAGTGTCCATATATCATCATCATCATTCACTTAATACGCCGCATCCTGCGGTCTGCCGTGAAAGCTGCTGTCTTCACACTTATACTAATGCATTTGAAGAATTGACTACTATTAAATGGCAAAAGTGTGCCATAGTTTCTTATCCATTTCCTCGTTTTCATTTTTTTTTTTGGTTTTTTTTTAGAGTTTACATGGTAATTACATACATTTCACATACACATGCAATACACAATAATCATTGTAATTGTAATTATGTTAAATGTAACTGGTAACATCATGCTAAATACATTAATCCTCCATTATAGACAGCATCCCCATCTCTATCATCCGACTATATCCCGCCGATCTGTCTTCTTCCATTACAGTTATCAGAGATTTGACTTCTATAGCAAATACATAATTTTTTAAAAATTATTTGGAGGGAATATTCATGATTTTTTTTTTTTGTTTTTTTTTGTTTTCAAATATCGTTTACATTGATCATTTCTTTTTGTTTTTTATCAAAGTGAGTTATTCTCAGAAAATATTTCGTTTTCACTTCCTCGTTTGTGAGATCGTCTGTGAGATCGTGGGTGAGTTAAAAACAATCAATGACTTAAAACAAATTAGATTATCCATATCGCTATCGGTTTTCGTTGAAAGAAATGCAAGTTGCGTGCCGTTGTTATTTAATTTAATATTATTAGGTACCAAAAAGTGTAAAGCAAAGTCAAAGTAATTCCGCGTTCGAAATAAAAGCGTTTAAAATTGTTTAAATCTATTTTGATCATCAGTTTACAACCATGAAAACATTTAAGTTTACATTTACTCTTATTTATGTACATATATAGATGTACCATAAAATATTCGTTCATATCAGAATATTAATATTAGCACTGTATATAAATACATTTATATTTATTATGTGGTATATTTTTGAGTGTATGTGTCTGCATATTGCGAGTTAAATAGATTTACATGCTACGTACAATTTACGTTCAACAAGAGGTTACAGCATCTTAACTAAATGCCGTAAAGTAACAGTTTGCATCTTTATAAAAAGGTTTTCCTTTTGCGTAATACAGTTAAAACTTACATCGTAAATTTGTGAATGGTAGTTCTTTGTATATGGTACTTAATCATAGCAGGGCCGATCCGCCCGACACCCCCACATCCCTACACCAAACTCCAGTGTCGGGCCCTTCGATAATACTGAGCGGTAAAGTTTGTCTCACAATGCATAGCATATATATAGGTCAGATTCGGATTCGGATCGTACTCGATTCTTCTATTTCGGCACAGAAACGAAAGGAGTGTTTGTGGAATGCGTTGAAAGTACAATAAAATCTCATTATTTCGTATTGTTTTATTACTCGTCAGTCTGAATACTCTGAGATTTCGCCTATAAAGCAAAGATTCAAAAGCGGTGCCTGGCAGAAGATCCTGTAATTCCCATTTACGAGTTGATTACACCCTAATGCTTGCTCTCCACTGTCCTTCTGGATATCTCGATTTAAATACTGGCTTACTGGCTAAACAGGAATGCAAACATGCACATATAATATATATATTTGAATGGATCTCCCGATTCGGTTTTAAATAAAATTGATATGTCTAATAGCTATTATCAATCGTTTTCAATTTCAAAAGGTTTGTATTGTATGTCGAAGTAATTCTGTTTCATCATCTAATATTAATATTCGGTTTTACCCCTTTCGGTATGTCATTTATGGTAGTATGTGTATCTGTACGATTTACAAAATATTGCAAACAGATGCCGAGTGAAAGTGAACCACTCACGCAACTATCCACAAATATATATTAAATGTCATTGAATTGGAATGCAAAATGTATATAATGATGATTTTTGAGCTAGAATTAGTTCTGATTTTGATGGAGCAGGTGCAGCATGAGCTGCCATTTGGTTTATGTACAGGCTATATTCGTATAAGTACGTATATGTATTGCATAAATACAGTTTATCTTTACATTCGCTTAATGAACAATCACAACGCAGAGTATTCGAATAAAGTGAGTGAGGAGAGCCGCTGTAGCTGAGTTCTGCAGATGTCTCTCGAAGAAATATCGTTTAAAAAATAAAAACTCTTAATGGAATTCGTAATCAATGTCACAGATTGTCCCTTAGTTCTTGTGTTCGGTCGTGTAGCAGAAAATAAAAACTCAAGGCGATCGTATGAAAAAAGAAACAGTTGAAATCATTTAATTGGTAAACGATAAACATGTTGACACAGTAAATGAAACTTAAAACAAAATGTAAAATACAAATAAATTAGGCGATAAAGCTACTGCATTTGACTAGACATTTAGCTTCACATTTATCATATCTTTGTCTTTAGGAAACTTTTTTGAAAAGCAACAAAGTGCACACACATTTAAACTTAAGCTAACTTTAATCCTAAATTTGAACACTTACTTAAGGATAAACACTCATTTGTAGATACTTTATTTAATAATACTTAAGACTTACGCTTGAAGGCATTTGAGCATAGAACAGAATGGAACAGAATAGTTCGGTGAAATTTCAGTGAAAACGGAAGCGGAAACGGAAGACTGTAGATTGGAGACTGTAGAGACGTGTAGAGAAAATGCACACAACAAATATTTATTTATGTCTTAGGTGGACTTGGGTTTCTGCTTTACTTTCGTAAGAGTGCATGCAGTACAAGAGTAGGGATTATTGTACGCGAAAGTCTTTGAAAAAGTCGTGGAACGACTGTGAAAGGACCTCATCAAGGGCTTTCTGAAGGTGCTTTGTGGTGGGTTGCTGTTGCAGTTGCAGAAGCTGTATTGGTATCTATGTATGTCCGTATATCTGCTTACACTTATTGTATATAACACCGAAAAATATGAAAGAATCATGTGTTGCCTGTCAACTAAACCTATGACTATTGTTATGGTTATTGCGCCGCTGTGGGGTGGAGACAAAGCCAAAAATAAGACTAGCCAGATGGCCATTATTATCCGGCTTCAATGCATGGGGATGAGTTGTAAATCTCTGATTTCCATTGGCTATTTACAGCACCTGACACCTTAGTGCTTAGTATTGTACGATAACTGGCAAATACAACCATAAGAATTGCTATTAGTTTTTCACTTCCAAACATCTGTCCGGATCTGTCTGGGACAAAAGTGGAACATTATCAGATTTCCTGGGGGGTCAGAAGACTCATTAGACTAAACACGAATATTTAATTTGGTTTTGGTTTTTAGCCTTGCTTTGCTTTGGATTAAAACTAGATTAATTTACGCCATTGTCAATACATAATATACCACCCGGCGCACTGGCCTCAAAACTTTGAATCAATTGATCAATTTGTTGTAGTACATTAGCCCACTGTCCAAATGGAAAACGTGTGATTCTTGTTGTTGTTCAAATTACTGGCAGATTTACTGTTGTACCATTTAATTTAATATATGCTTGTATATAATTACTATGTATATCCTATATGCCTATATAAAACTGCACTGTCTATGTCAAAGGCAGTCGCCTCTTTAGTGTTGTCGTGTTCAGTGTACTCGAGGGAGGACTGGGGTTGGGGGATCTAGAATTATCAATAGAATAATGTCTTTTATGCGTTTTGGAGAAATTTGAAAGAAATCCTTATCCTTCCTTATCGTTTAGTTTCCTATACTCTTATTTACAGTGGTGTCCTTACAGCCTAGATCTTTGCATTAAAAGTTAAAACTTTTCTCAACTTTATTTAATTACAATGTGTGCGTGTGTTTTTTGTATGTGTGTGTGTGTGTGTATTAGAGTTGAATTTAGTTTCACGTTTTAGCTAAAATCGATTTTGATCTCACTCAATATCACTTGATTTCACTAGATTTTTTCCTTGGGCTTCAGGTTTTTAAGCCATAGTACATTAGTTTGGGTTTGTAGGTATATAAGTACGATCTAAGTAAAACTTCAACTACTTTGAGTTGCTGACTTGCGTCTTTAAAACTAGAACAACAATCATATATCGCATACATCGTACTCCTAGGCATGTAATCATATCCAGTATTCAGTATCCAGTATGTATATGTATATATATATAGAGATTCTCTTAAGACCTAAACATTTATCGCCCTAGTAAAGTATCAGTGTAGTGTGTTGCAACTATGTACGAGTATTTTTTTGGAGTAGAAAAAACTTGTAGTTAACAGTAAGTTATGCACTAATATTTATCATAGATCGGGATTTCGCTTTAGCTTTAGCTACAGTTATCAATATATAGTTAAAGAGTTACACCTACAGTCGAGTCGAGCAGAATAAACGGCTACTATGTATATAAAAAACGGTTGGGTATACATTTACATATCGTATTACTTCAACATAGATATTGCACTTGCCTACAATAGTCAATAACAATTCAATTTGAACTTTTACCAATCCTTGGCTAGACTTACATTCTAAAGCGAGTCGAAGTGTCTTCTACTTAGACGATAGATAGTTTGAAAGTGACTAAGACTGAGAGACAGAAAAGTTAAGGATAGGGATAGACCTAGCGAAGAAATGCCTTTAACTACTACGTACATGTGACATTGATTTTTAGACTCAAATTCGTCTAATCATAAATTCTAACAGTGGTAAACAATGCTTTCTGCTTGCTTAATGCGATTGTCAATCGATTTTTGTCCTAGTTGTAGGTTGTTGTCCTTTCAGCCTCGATCCTATGTCGTCGATGCGATCGTCGAAGTCGAGGCGACACTGTCCAGTCCAGATCCTGTCGAGACATTGACTTGATGGTGCTGTTGCTGCTGCTGCTGGTGTTTTGCAGATTGCTCCGGTTCCTGGACCCGATGGGTTTTCATGTGAGCACTACGACTCTTCACCTTATTGAAGACTCTGGGCAGGAGAAAAAAGCAGAAAACAGAGCACCATGAGAATACACAAATCAGGAGCTGCAACTCCGATCACTACTATCTAGGATGCAGGCTAGGCGGATTAATTGGACATTTAGATTAGTGAAGCACATAGAATAGTCAGCGATTATCATAAAATTGGTATTGGTAGAGCTCGTGCAAGAGGTGGTAAGTAGAGAGGCATGCAGAGATACGAAATAGACTTTAGCTTGGGTTTAATTTCAATTTTGGTTGTCGGTTTACTTCTTCTTACTCAGCCTTGTGTGGAGTTAAAATTTGCTTTGTTGTTAATAATAACTATGGAAAATAGAGAGTTTATGTTTAGAAACACAAAACAAAAAACAAATCAGTAATAAAATACATATATAGATATATTTTGTGGGAAAGAAATGGAAGAATCGAAAGTCGGGTGTGCGCTTTAATGATAGCAGGGTTCTAGATCACAGCCGCCTCGGTGATTGATCAAGTTTATACATTTTTGTGGTTCAATCATTGATGTATTTGCCGGATCTGGACACAGATCACACCGAAGGCTGGCTGCTTCCAATTTACAGATGGAGGATTGAAGTGGCTTTAAAGGTGAACTTTCCTCCAGTGGTTTTGTTTAGTAAATATATTTACAAAAGTTATTAAATGCAGTAAGCATTTAGCGCTGTGTTTAAGTTGATTATAAAAAAAGGAAATGAACAAATTACAATTGAACACGAAATTAGAGAACAGAGATCGAGTAGAATGAGACCAGTGAGAACGGAAGAGGGATGTCGAATCGAATCAAATCGAATCGAATCGAATTGAAAAAAAATAAAAAGTGAAAACATAAAACGAAAGCTTTCTACTTACCGAGCGGTTTGCCAGCGGCTGCCTGGCGACTTTAATCGCGTCGTTTGTGTGAGCTTGTGATGCTGATATCAGTTACGGTTACGTCTATTTGCGAGTTGTGACTCTTCGCTTTAAAATTGCAATTTCGATTTATTGAATTTATTCGTAATTCGTTTTGGTTTTTGGTTTATGGATTTGGGTTTTGATTTTTCAATTGTTTTTTGGTTTTTGGGTTTTCGCATCATGGAACAATACAATACAACAACAATAACAACAGTTAATATCGCTTGACGAAAACTCTAACTAAATGGCATAAAAGTTCGAAACTAACATACGAATAATAATAATGGAACTAAAGATTCAAAGGAGTATCTACAAAATATACTTTGAGCATAGAAAGACATAGAAGAGTGGTTGGCAAGTAGCGGAAATTTTACTGGGAAAATCAATCAAAAAAATTCAAGGATAAACTAAAAAAAAAACTAAAAACAATTTGCAAAATAAATCAAAGTCTAGAAACCAAATACTCGTATACGGTATATCGTATATGGGGCTTATTTTACGGTAGTACAACGTGCTTTACGATCTCAACTCAAGTCAATACGGGCACTCAAATCGCTTGCGGATTTTCGAATTGTTTCTTGGAAACTGGACGATAGTGTTGTGGCATGTTTTGGATTTTGGTAGAAATTGCTTTGGGGGAATCTTACTTGCCGCACACCTTGCAGGGGAATTCGCCGTCCTTGGCATTCGGGACAGCGGTGTTGCCATTGCCATTGTTGCCGTTACTGTTACCAATACCCGAATCCAGCTTAGAATTGGCTAAGATGGAGGACGCTGTTGCTGTAGTCGCGTTGGCATTCAGATTGCAGTTGCCACTGTTGCTCATTGCATGACTTGCTCCACCTGCTCCTACTGACGATGAGGCATTATTGTTGAGGTTATTGTTGCCACTTGTAAGTGTTGCACATGCGTATCCGCTGTTGTTGATGTTAGCATTGCTGACACTGTTGGCCGCTGCATGCTGGCCACTGATGTTGCTGTTGCTGCTGCTGTTGTTGCTGTTACTGTTGCTGCCATTGTTGTTGTTGTTGCTGCTGGCACTACGGCCGTAAGCGTGTATGCGGACATGGCCGTGCAGTGCCGCTTTCGAACTGAAGCTCTACATTCGGAGGCAGGCAGGGTTTGGTTTTGTTTTTGATTTTCGAGCGTTATGTACAAAAAAGAAAATAAAAGGAAAGAGAGCCGGTGAGGTGAGGTGGGGTGTTGCGAATGTGGGGGACGAGAGGGGTCGCGGGTTAGAGAGCAGTGGCTTCGTGCTCGGTCTGAGGACATGCTGCCGCATCTAAGGCCTAAAACTTACCGCTGAGCAGTCGGGGATCTCGCACACATAGGGTTTCTCGACGGGGGGCGTTACCACGACGACGGGTTCCATCTTCAGGTGAGATACCTTGTAGTCCACGCACAGCTTCTTCCAGAAATAGTACATCTGCACGCACTCGCCGGAGGACTTTGTCAGGAGCTGAAAAAGTCATAGATTTTTATAAGAATGGCTTGTCCATATTTAGAGTCTGAGCTCCTACCGTATTTGCAATCTTGCCAAAATCTTTGCCATGCTTCTCCAGACCTCGCAGGAACTGCTCCAGCTCGTGGGAGCTCCACTTCATCTGGAAGGCGCCGGACTGGGTCTGCAGCAGATTCAGTACCGCCGCCGCCGAGTTCCCGTGGGCCTTGAGCAGCGTGTGGAGGGCCACCTCCTCGGAATGACTGCCCATAGGCACGGCCGACGATTTGCTGAGATCTATGTAGCGCATCAGGATCTTCTCGTCTTCCTGCACTTCAGGATTCCACATCATTTCGGCGCCCACATCCTCACGCAACGCCTCTTCCTGAGGCCGGCAGCTGGGAATCTGTGCCTGGTAGGTCGAGCCGAGATTGACCTTCGACTCGTCTGAGAAGTCAACCAGACCCACCGGGTCCCCAAAGTCATCATCGAAAGCGTCGAACAGACCCTGGCCCAGCTGCTTCCGCACGTTGCAGTAGAGTCCTGTGCCCTTGCGGTCCGGATTCAGGATGGGAGCGGGAGTGTAGTGGGTGCGGGATGGCTTGCGCAGCTTTGAGCGGTGCGGCGAAAGGGTATGGAACTTGGAGAACTTGTGCGTTTCCTGGGGCGCGTTCGAGCGCAGTCGGCGCTTCAGAATGGAATTGGTTTGGTTCGACAGCGGTTGCAAATTGGCCACTGGAGTTGGCATGGACGGGAGCAGGGGCTTGTTGCCTGTTGTTACCGCTACAGCCGAGCCGCAGGCGAACATCAAACTTCCATCGAGCTGGGCTGTCTGATTTGTATTCATTTGGCAATCGGCGGGGAGGTGGGTATCGTTGCCCGCAACCAAATTGCTATTCGAACTAGGTCCGCTGAAGAGCAGGGGCTGGAGCAGGCTATTTAGGGGCTGCAGCCCCATGCCGCCCCCCTGGCTATTGTCCAGGAATTGATTTTGGGTTGGGAGCGACGTAAAGCCATGACCTCCCACCAGGGGCAACATAAAATCGGCCTGCTGATTGCTGGCCACAGGGAGAGACTCGGATTGATTCAGCTGTTGCTGTGGCAACATCAATTGTTGCTGCTGCTGTTGCTGTTGCTGCTCCTGCTGTGATGGCTGATGTTGCTCCTGCTGTTGTTGCTGGTACAGTGTATTGTTGTTTTGTAGTTGCTGCTCCAGGGGCTGTTGCTGCTGCTGCTGCTGCTGATGTTGTTGTTGTTGCAAACCCACCTGCTGCCTTTGCTGGCCAAACTCCCTAGGCGAAGAGGACAACAATGGATCCTCCGAATTGGGCATCATCTGCGATTGCAGGCCCAAGCCGGGCAGATAGTAGAGATCGATTATATTCTCGCCCTGTTGCTCGCTACTCATCTGCAACTGCATATTTTCATCGGGCAGGACCTCTCGCAGGACCTGTTTCACATCCTCAGCGGAACCAATACCGCTGGTGAAGAACGACTCTGAGAGCGGAGAAGTGGCATTGCGGGAATCGTTGAGGAACTCTTGGTCCTCGTCCAGAAACGAGAGATTTGTCTCGGCAAACTCCCGCAGATCACACTCGGTGTCGTCGTCCGTGCCGTTCAGTAGGTCCTCCACCTTAATGGAGGGATCGAAGCTGCTCTCCTCCAGCACCGACTTGAGCTTGAGGATCTTCTCATTGTCCTGCTCGTCCAGCTGCTCGATGGTAGCTTGACCGTCGTCGGTCTTGAAGTAGATGTGCGAGAAGTCCGTCTTGTCGCCGAAGAAAGTGTTGGTGGCATCCACAAACTGGGCAGCTGCATCCTCGATGAATGGGGAGCTCTGGGCCATGTTCTCGTGGCTCGAAGGCGGCGTGGGATAGGCCAGCGGGGAGTGAAGTGGCGAGGCCAGGACACCGCCACTGCTCCGCATGCTGGCTATTGCCTGAATCTGGGAACTGTTCTGCATGATCAGTTCCTTGGAATGGAATTGTTGGAAGGTGGGCAGCGGTGTGGTATTGGCGTTGTTCGTGACGGTGTTGTTGTTTCCAGTGTTACCCGATCCGGATATATTCTCCGTATCCAGCTTCACCAGCTGTGTGTGCACACTGTCCCCAGCATCACTCAGAAGGGCAAAGTCCTCGGAATGTTCGCTCTTTATCTGTGTGTCATCCTCGTCGTCTTGCAGGAGCTCCATGGAGTCCACCGTCTGCAGCAGCATCTCCGTGTCTGTGACATTGTAGACTTCGGCATCGTCGAACAGATCGGTGCCGTCACTGGTGTAGGTCACTGTGTAAACTCCACCCCCGCCACTCGTGATGACACCTCCCGATGATGTACCGCCACTCGACATCTCCTGGTTGGGAGTTATGGTCAGTGAAAGCGGCGTACCATCGCCCAGGGAAATGTTACCCGATGTGCAGCTAGTGTTGGAGACGCTGTTCGAAACTGTTGAGGTGCTGCTACTCTTGACCAGACTACTCAAGGTGCTAAGCTTGCTCTTGGTGGACACCACCTGGACATCGGAGGGGATGATCACCGTGCGGTTGTTGTTTGTGATAATCTGGCGTCCAACTGTCTGCAGGCTGTTGCCACCAATGGTGGTTAATTCCGTAACAGCACCCATGGCACTCGTTGCTGAGGCGCTGGAGGTCATTAGGACACTGGACCCCGTTTGGGTCTGAGACTGGGTTTTCTTCGAGGTCACCGCGATGCGAGTGCCTCGCTTCAGGAGCTCTATGAGGGTGGAATCCTTGGGATCCGTGTTGGTGGCCGTGGATATGCCGCTGATGGTTCCGCCGGCCTTCAAGGCAGTCAGGGCACTCATTGTGGTGGTGGTGGGCACGTTGTTGGTGGTTATGGTGATGGTGTTGGTACCACTGCCCAAATTCAGGGTCTTGGACTGCTTCTGGCCACCACTGAAGATCTCGATGCTCTGAGGCAGTCCAATCTGCTGGATACTCAATCCATTGCTGCTCTTTATGGTGGTGGCTGCCGGAAGAACGGCCGTGGTGGAGCCCGTACTAGTTGCCAGCGTCTGGGTTTGTCCACTAGAGCTGCTCTTGGGATTGAGGAAGCTCTCCAGGTCGCTAATGGAACGCCTCAGTGGAGTGGTGATGCCACTGCTATGCGGTGGGGCAGGAACCACAAAGGAGCCCTGGAAAGATGATAAAATATGTGTTTAAGGACTTGGTAATCAGAGAATTAGAGGAAAGTCAAGAAGCCCTCAGATGTAGGCAACAAAAATTTTAATTTGGAATAACTCCTAAAACCTAAAGCCTTATTCAAAAGATACTTATAACTCACCTTTGTGATGTCCTTGCGTTTGCTTATAATCTTCTCCTCGATCAGAGCACGAACACCAATACTGGCCGTCTGCAGGGGCGGTCCACTTGAATCCTTCTTCTCGCTGCGCCTGGTTTCTGGATCCTTTTTGAAGTAGCCGCCATGGAGGCGCATGTGCCCGTTGAGGGCAGGTATGTTTTTGAACTTACGGTGACAGAGATTGCACTCGACCGGCTTGTCGAGCTTCACAATGTTGAGCAGGTGGGGGTTGATGGCGGCCACAATCTGTTGGTTGAGCTCCTCCTCCTTGATCTCTACTGGGGAGCTGGAAGAGGGAGCCACCATGTCGGTATTATCCTCAACGGTGACGGTCACATTCTGGGAATTGTTGAGCTGGAAAGAAAGGCGAATAAAATCAAAATTTTAAAAAAAGAAATAAATTTCGGGCTTACCAGTTGCATGTTCCAGGTGCGCGGCCTCGACTGGGTCGACGCAGAATTGGTATTAATCTTATAGGAGCTGACACTGGTGGGCGAGGAGACGGTGACCTGGGCACTCGTCTGTTTCGTTTGCTGCATGATCTTGCTGATGAGATCCAGCTGTTCGCGGGTCAGGCCCTCGCCCTCGAGGCTCACCCCGTCGCTGAGCGTTATGGTGGGGGAGCTGGTGGTGGCTATCACCGCACTCTGGCTGGCCGTCGACGAGGCCGTCCCCACGGAGGCGGAGGACGAGGAAGACCCGGAGCTGCTAGCCGTGGAGGAGGCGTTCGAGGAAGTCGAAGTGGTGGGCGAGAGCAGGGTGACGCCCGTCTTGATCGGCAGGTTCATGGCCTTGATCTGTTCATCCGACAGAGCTATCCCGGTAGCCGCATCCACCACCGAGTTGCCCGTGGAAATATAGGTGCGTATGCAGGTGGCACCGTCGGGCGAACTGGCATCCCCGCTGGCCGTCGCCGGCGAGAGGCTGAGAGTGCTGGTTGCCACCCCTACTCCGCTGCCGCTTACACTGCCACTGCTGCTGCTACTGCTGCTGCTGCTCGTCCCACTGGAGCTGGAGCTGGCGATGGGCGAGAGGGACTGGCTGGTGGTGGGCGTGGTCGCACCACCTGCGTGGTGGTTCTCTGAGTGTCGCCGCAGAGATCGGGCGTCGCAGTAGGACTTTCCACAGCCATCCGCCTTACATTCGTAAGGCTTCTTGTTCCGATGAGTCATCATGTGTCCGTTTCTGCAAGAGGATTGGGTGGAGTATGGGGGTGTATAGGTCAGTGGCTCAGTGGAACGAGCGTCATTTACTTACAAGTGATCTTGCCGCTTGAATGCCTTCGAGCAGAGCGCACAGATGTATTTCCGTTCGTCGCTGTGCGTCAGTTTGTGCTTGGCCAGTGCCGAGGCATTTCCAAAGATCTTGCAACAAATCTATAAAAAGGCCAGAGAAGCAAAGAACCAGAGAAATGTAATTAGCGCTGCCAGTCGACTGCCCTCTAGATAATTGAAAGCATTTCGGTCGTCGTCGTTCGCTGTTCGAACATTTTAATGAGCCACATTGCGTATACGTTATGTTGTTTTTTCTCGGCCACCTTGCCGAGAACCCCCATCCACCACCCGCGTACCGCATCTAAACACCGCACGCTAATTACGGCCAACGAATTCCAAACGAAACCCAACCGAAACTATCCCAAAAGCCAGACCACATTACACTCTAAACTATCAGCAGACACGTGTGCAACATAGATATGTTTGCGTGCAACAGAATCGGCAGTAATGAAATTCCCAGATGCGGTCGCCGCTGCTGACCAAACATTTCCTCCCGGCATCTGCAGTATCGTAAAACGTGCCATAAAATTTACTTCACTAGCAGCAGCAGACGGGCAAAATAAAAGTACAAAATGGGGGCTTCAAGTCCTCACTTTGAGCAACTGTCAGTTTTTCTGACAGACGTCGAATCGTGTTAAATGCCCCGCGCGAGAGTTGTTCGACAAGTCAGCGGATTGCCTTTGTTGTGGAAAATTCCACAGATGGTGAGAAATTCGAAATCTAAAATCAAAAGCCTTAAAGCCTTTGATCCAATATTGATAAATTTTTTCATCAAAAAAGGATAACAATAAAATTGTATTCAATTAAATTATTTTTGCAAATTGGATAACTTCTGGTTAGAAATTAGAATTTATGAAAGGGAGAAAACCATTTAGTAGAACTATGCTTGTGCAATAAATTTTCATAACGAAGAATCTACTTTGTCTTTGATGTATAAACCAGTCTCCTGATTTAATTTGAGAGATTGCATCTTTGAAAATATTTTTCTCTCACAGTGCAATGTGTTCAAAGTATTCCGTGAAAATCATTTCTGGTCTTTGATGGTTTCCCTCGATTCCGCAATTGGCAGCTCAGGCAATCGTCAAACCAATGGACCTGCCCTCATCTGCAGCATCTTAACTAGAGGGGCTCTACGCTCAATTAGCGCCGTGTATAAACACGTCCGACTACGGCCATAATATTAGTTCCAAGTGGCAGTACGGCGGACTTTTACGAGAGCGGGTGCGGGCGGGCCAACCGGAGCATTTTTTGTTGGTGCGCTCGTCTCACCTGCCACTTGGTCGAGACGACCTTAATGTCTGTTTATAAATATTGCACGGCAAGTGCCAGTCGGACTGTCCAACTGTCGGACATTTTGGCATGGCTCAAAACGACCGGCGATAAATTAGCGATTAGGCCACAGACATACTACATTCGGGAGTCAAGGGAAACCGCATAAACCGCACTTGATACGCACCTGGCACTGCTGCGGTCCGTGTCGCGTTGGTGACGATAGTTTGGGGCGGTTTTTGCGCGGCGCTTCGATGCTGATGATCCCACTGACGCCAGTAACTGTGCCACTGTGGCAGGACCCTCCGACCGATGAGCTAACGCCGTTCGCTAATCCAGGAACATGTCTACCGGTGCCCTTGAAGCTCAAACTGTGTGTGCCGCCGCTGCTGCTGTTGCTGTCGTTGCTATTGCTGTTGCTGTTGCTGCTGCTGTTGCTGCCGATGCTGATGCTGCTGCCCACGGAGGAGGCAGTGCTGAAGTTGCTGCTGTTGCTGCAGTTGCTGTTGTTGTTATGCTGATTGAGTAAACTTGCCGCGCTGCTGGTGCTGCTGTTGCTCATAATCTGCGCCAGCGTCGTGACATTTGTGACCGTGTTGCTGCAGCTGCTGCTGCGTATCAAGCAGTTTTTTATGTAGCTGGTGTTTGTCTTGCCGCTGTTGCTGGTGGTGCTGCTAATGCTGTTGCTGTTGCTGCTGTTGCTGCTACTGATGCTCGTGTTGGTGGATGTGCTCACCGATTGAACACTACGTCGGGTTATGGTTATTTTATTGGTATTACCCACAGGATTGCTGCTAGTCGATTTGCTAGAACTATTGCTTGAGGTTGCTGTTGTGATTGAGTTGTTTTTAAGAGCTGGAAAGGGAAATGTAAAGGTCATTTGAGAGTTCTATGGAGTGTCCTATTTTTGGTATTAATTAAAGCCTTATTGTAATTGAAACTCGCTTTTCCATTGCTAACTATTTAAACTGATGGGTAAAATTAATTAAAACCAGAAACTATTTGAAAGTTGAGATACTTTTGAAGAATCAATAGCCAAAGTTTATTGAATTTCAATGAATTAATTAAAGGCCACAACATTGAATAACAAGTTGAGAACAATAAATCATATTTCGTTTTGTTTTTGTGATTATTTGGGAAGCAATTACATTTGTATAGTTTACTTACAGGCTGTCTGAATGGTGCCCAAGACATCTGCCAACATTTCCGGATCCGGATAGCCAATTGTCAGCGCATTCTCTAGCGTCGACGCTGACGCTGTTGCCGCAGAGGTGGCAAGCGCTGCAACGCCATTTGTTGCTGACGCTGACGTTGATGTGGCGATTGATGTTGCTGCTGATGCTGGGGCTGGGGCTGGTGCTGGTGATGCTGTTGCTGCATTTGCATCTCTTAGTTGCAGAGTTACGGATCCCTCGGTGCCCACGGAGGCGCTGCACATCAACACGCGCGGTGCGCTGCTGAGACTTGTCAGTGGCAGGTGTATGCTCTTGGGTACCTGCGGGCAATGCAAATGCAGAACGGCATCTCAATAGTTGATAATTCATCCGCTAAAAACATAATAGTAGCCGCTTGTCGCACTCTGGCTCTGTCTCTGGCTCTGTATGTGTGTGCGTGTGTCTGTGTGAGTGTGCAAGAGGGACATGTACATATGCATGTATTTTGTACAATATTGTACATATTCGAAATTGCTGCCAAAAGGCGGGACAGCAACAGCAGCAATGGCTGCGAATCTCGCTGTCAGGCGAGATTAGTCGAGATTATTGATAATTCAGAGCAACTGTCGCCTAATGGACGACGCGCGGCATAATTAATTGAATTTAAATGCATTTCACTTTGAGACCCAACCACCCCCTCAGTGCCCCCACTGCCCCAACTGTCCCGAGTTAAATAAATACAACATTTCCCTAAACAGTAAGTACGGAAGCACGTTGAGCATACGCCGTGTGGCCAATAACACAGCGGGACCTCGCATCTCCTAGTACTTGGCACCCGCAAAACAATGGTATATTTTTAGTTAGTAATTTTTGTTGGTTCTCTCTGCTTTTGATATTCTTGGCAACCCCTCGGCGAATATTAATTTAAATGCAATAAAAGTGCAGCCATAAATTGGCAACCGAAACGGATAAAGGGGGGAAATAGGTCGTCGGGGCGACGAGGCGACGCGAGAGGTGGAAGGAGACGCGGCTAGATGTTAGATGGGGCAATTAATGCTTTATAAACCGCAACCGATGCCCAATTAATGTGGCCTGCAATTGCCCATAACCACAAAACAAAATGCGAATAAAAATAAATAAAATATCGGCGCATAAATTTCCAAAAGTGCCTGCGACGCTGACCACAATGAAAACAAAACAAAAACAAAAAACACGAGCAGGGGCAGAGATACAACTGCAGATTCGCAGTTTCAGGTTCAAAACACTGCCAGAGGATGGTGGAGGGGAGCAAAGCGAAGACATTTGTTTCGGGCGCATAAAATTTCACGTAAAATAAATAAACAACAATTTTATTATTGTTTAAGTTTTGGGCAAAAAAAACACCGCCAGCCAAATGAAAAAGTTCCCTCAATGAACCGAACTGGAAATGGAGCCACAAGTGGCCCGCCGAGTCATCCGCGTTAATGTTCTGTTCAACACGAATTGTTTATTTGAATATGCCACCACCGGGCTATGAGATATATATGGGATGATGCTATTAGGAGAAGTAAATTAGATTTATGTTTATCAATTGTTTTGATAACCTTGTCGCTGCTCTGAAACGCTTTGGGTAATCAAATCCGAAATGAGCCTGGATATAACTTCTTGGAATTGCCGCAAACTTTCAAGATGCTTGCCTCACATCTTTAGGAAAACAAACGGAAATCGCATAAACCCATTTCAATCGTTGGGTTATCACGATTACAGCATCTTTGGGTAAACAAGGCGCCCTCGCTATCTTCGAATCAAATCGCTTCATAAATTATATTCACGCTAAATCAATTCAGGTATCAAGTAATTATATGTTGGTTTTCCTCTCTTTCTGGCACAAGCCAGAAGATTTATGAGCCTTGGCTGTTAGAAAATCTCCCATGTCTGCCATAAAAGGAGAGGCTGTCATATCTCGGCGAGAGGTGTGAATGCGGGGGGAGCTGGGTGGATATACATATCCTGTTACGACACCCGACCACCGCTGAGCCCCACCTGGACTCTTGGATGGCTCTAAGTGTGAGGGTACCACCTTGTACATATATTTTTACGGCGTGATTCACGTGTCAATCAAATGTCAATGTCACTCCAAAAAACAACCCAAAAGCCGACGCTTTGGTGTCCAAAAAAAAAAAAAAGGAACCCGACGAAGAATGAATGAATGAACGAACCTGAATGACTGACTACCTCTGGGCTCCTCTCCTATGTTGCACGGAAAAGTTTGGGACTGCCAAAATCATATTTACACTGCAGCTAGACTCCGGCAAGTTTGATGCCAGACCGATTTAAATTTGGCAAGGTCTCGGGTCTGGCCCGTCTATTCTTCCGATTCGTTAATGAAAATTTCAAGATGATGTCAGCGTAAAATTGAATATGCTGGGCGGCAATTTGTCATCGGGTTTTTCATTTTTCCCACAGTTCCCTATCATGTTGTTGCGGTGTTTCTTGCTTATTAGTAAAATGAGCTGAAACACATGTCTGGGCCGGTGAGTAGGCACACATGGGCAAGGGCCGGGAAAAGACCCCGCCGTCATCGACGGCATAGGCACAGGCATGGGCATTGGCAGAGGCATCGGCATCGGTAAGAGATTCATCATCGGGTAACTCGGTCATATTGCCTCGAGTCTGTCCGCAGTTCCGTCTTTTTCAATTTTCAATTTGCTTCATGATTGGGTCTTCAAAGACAACCAAGTATCGTTTGGCGTACAACGTGTCGTATGCGTAATATCATAATTTTTATCGTTAAAAGTAAAGGATAGCTATTAAAACGTTTTATGGCACTTTCCGAAATTATTAAACAAGTCTATAAAGAAGATTTATGATATTTTGACCAGCTAAACGTGTGACTAGATGTTGCTTTTATTTATAAATATTAAAATGGTACCAAATAAAAGAATAGTTGGCCATGTCAGCTACAAATAGCATGGTTGTAGATGTTAATAAATATATTGCCATGTGCCATAAATTATTCCTCCTTATGATTGATTGCACACAATCGCTGTTGTGCCTTCCCCCCATAATTGTTCCGCTGGCGTTGATTTACTTTTTTGTTTGGCTTTACTTTGTTTTTTGTTATTTGGATGTCGATGTCGCGTACTTACCGTATTTATGGCAGCCATCGTCGCAATTGACGCCGTCGATGATATTCTTGTTGTTCTTGATGTTGTTGATTTTGTTGGTGGTTGTACTTATTGTTGTTGTAGTTGTTGTTGTAGTTGTGGTGGTAGTGGTGGTGGTGATGATGGGGATACAAAATCAAAAATCTGAAAAAAGTTTCGTATGATTGAACATATTCGAATTCGTTGCTGATTTTTTTTTTTCAATTTTCCTTTTCGTTTGGTGATATACGAGAAAATAAATTTCAACAAAAAAAGGCAACCAAAAAAAAAAAAAGAAAAACATCGAGAACGACGAGAAACCAAAAACAAACATAGTACTAAAAATGTATGCATAAAAATGTGCGCATAAAACTCAGTGAAATAAAGAAATCAAATACATGCACATACGGAAGGCGACAAATTGGCAAAGATATTCGAAATCGAGATAAGCATACATGGGATGTTCATGTTTAGATGCAGAACACAATCAAAAGTATGATAGATACGCTTCGGGGGCGGTGGACTATGGCTGAAGATGGTAGGATAGGTTAGTCTGATTTTTTTTTTGGCTGAACAATGTGGTGATTGACTGACTGACTGACTGGACTGGCTGACTGACCAATCGAGTCGCCTCAGGGGATTTAGTTGTCGCCAAGATTAGTGACCGAAAGAAATGATGGCATTGAATACATATTCAAGTTCCTCTCCTCAGAGACTTTCCCACTAATCCATGAGCACCATACCATACCATAAGATAGCATATTTTTCATCGTTTTTGGTTCGATTTATAGCTTGAAGCTGCAGTATTGAAAATTTCAATTATTTTATGCACTTGCTGCTTTTACATTTCTGGCGAATTTTCCCTCTATCGATACCAATGTCTGTACTTGTATCTGTATCTGGTTTATTTGAATTTTTCCATTTTTCCCTTGCACCGCCTGCGATGTCGATGTACGATTGTCAGTGTCTTTGTACTGTCTCATGGGATTTTATTTTGGTACACAATAGTCTTTGTCTGTCAGCGTGCATGCTTATTTTTGTTTTAGTTATTTAATTACAATTTTCTATAGTTTTATTTTTAATTTAATTCATGTTTCTCTTACGTCCCACCCGTTTTGGCAACGCTTGGCAAAACATTCGCCACAAATGCCACAAAAAGCTGTGCAAAAAGATTGGCAATGGTGACAAATCTTTATTGGGCATTCTGCTTCGATCAGATACTCTTCTCTTTGATAAGAATATAAATTAAAAAAGATTAAAATATAATTTATTTCAAAATTCAACTCTATTTACTTATTTTTAGATTATTATGCATGTGAAGGTCTAGACCTTAATAATGCCTATACATAAGATTAAAGAATGATAATAACCAGAAAGGGCAAGGTTCTTGTGCTGACACAAAACGTATGACGAAATCAACGAATTCGAGACAAAATGTAGAGCATTTCGAAAACGATTGCGAAATCAGAGGCAGAGATTCTGAAAAAGAGACAGAGACACACGAGCGTCGTCAAAGCATCGGGCCAAAGGCGCAGTTGGCCAAGGGAACTTGTAAGTTGGATCGAAGGGGGCACCTGGGGCGGGCCGGGGCGCCACACGTTTGTACACATGTTTTCGGCATCTGACGCTGCTCCCTTGCACACACAGACAGAGGCACACACAGTTCAGAAGACGGACAGAAAGATTGTTCTCAAAACGCAACAGGCACAAGGGGACGCCAAATGCATCAGATGCCTCTAGCATCTGCATATGCATTTTGGTAGTGGTCTTCTGGCTTTTGGATATGGCAGTTCCCAAGCAACTTCGACAGCGACTGGTAAATGTGATGGCCAAGTCAAAGTATCCGAGTACCGGAGCAGACTACCAGACAAGAAGCCGTGCAGTGCTTGTTGATTTTAATTAAAAATACGTATGAACGATGTGTGCACATTGCAGATTGCGGATTGCACATTGCACGTTGCATGCTGCACAGTGCACAGTGGTACACTGGCACAGTGTGTCACCGCAGATGCACATTCAGATTCGGATTCAGACTCACTCCCCTCGACCGAATACACAGCATGGGTATGGGCCGTAAGCGTGCGGAATGTTGTCGAGCGCGACGACAATTTGTTTCGGAAAATCGTTGGCAAGGCGCCCACTAAAACACACTGATGAAGAGAGCCAAGGCGGGATACAGCCAACAACACGATTACCGAAAAAAAAATAAAGAAAAT